AATTGTTTCCCTCCTTAATTTAATGTTTCTGTTAAATTCAGCATTCAAACTCCAGCACAACATTCCTAAACCGGTAAGAACTAAATGAAGTGCCCATCAATTTTGTTCCTTTTACACAAACTATATGTAGGCCGACAATAATAAAACAGTGAGTTTTGCTATCAGCCAAGCTATTAGACCTGACAGTTTGTATTGATAAGGACGTTAACACACACACACACACACACACACACACACACACACACACACACAGGCTAAGGAATTTTACTGTTTGTAAATCAGTAAATTGCTCCAACATTTAACTATGAAATAGCACATAATAATTTAGCAGAGAATTTAATAATCAAACTAGATTCAAATGCAAAGTTACATGTTGTCTACAGGGCTGTTAAATTCCCCGTTTAAAAAACACTCCATCATCACTGATTCTTCTACACACACTAATGTCCCTCAAAGAGAAACACACACTCTCTCTACCACACTGCCCGTGTGTCTCTCTCTCATATTCTCTTTGCTTCGCAGGAAACCTCAACAATCACTACATCATTTCTCACAGCCTCTCAGTGCCTCTGTTGATCACTAACATGTTTTGCTGTCGTCCTCTCAAAAAGTGGGACCACTGTTTTTAGCAGCTCTATCTACACTCTTAAAAAATGTTTTTAGGGGTTCTTTAGTAAAAGGAATGGTTCTATTTAGGACCATGAGTTCTGCACAGAATTAGTTCTTGTTTAAATGGTTCTTTGTATGGTGAAATTGTTCTTTAGATTGAGAATGTGTTGTATGGTTCTATTTAGTAAGTTATCGTTCTAAAAATGGTTCTAAATAGCACCAAAACTGGTTCTTCTATTGTTACAAACTTTACTTCTTAACAGTAGAAGAACCCTTTTTGGTGCCATATAGAACCATATACAACTAGAGCTGGACCAAAATATTCAACTATTCAGATATTTGTTTGTTAACCAACGTTATTCGCTTTTTAATTTGGGGAAATTCGTTTTTTCTGTTGTTGTTTTGCTACATGTAGACAATCAACAAAGGCGAACTAGAAATATTGTACCGGTCAGGATTCTCTGGAGAAACTTAGAGGACTCCAGTTTTTGGTCCGTAACGCAGTTTTGTGTTTAATTTGCTGACATCAGAGCCAAACACGGGGAGAAGAAACACAGCTTCTCCAGCGCAACAGCTAAAAACACAGCCCTCTGCTCTACTCCGGAAAACCCACCACTCCACTCGCATTCAGGCTCTTCAACATAAAAGTCCTTTACGAATCAACCTAAAGCAGCCCAGCATAAACATTACTTCTCTTTAAAAAACTGAAACACCGGCGGACGCGGATTTTCTGAACGACTTTCTAAGACGTTCTATACAGAAAACGTGGTTCTAAACAGAACCATTCCTGATACTAAAGAACCTTTGAAGAAGCATCTTTTTAAGAGAATAGAGGAACCAGATGCCTATTGCGCCCTCAAGAGGACGGTTCAAACACAATCCTCCTCAATCCTGAAAATGAAAAACCCGCTGATCCAAACAAACTGTTTTTACTGGAAATCAAATTAAATTATATTAATGTGTTTTTTAAATCGATCAGTCGAACAACTGTTTATTAATCATTTACATTCTTTACAAATGAGGTTACAAACTGCATGTGTAATGGATTTAAACTTCACCACTAGAACAATAATAACAACAACAACAACAATAATAATAATACAACAACAACAACAACAATAATAATAACAATAACAACAACAACAACAACAACAACAACAATAATAATAATAATAATAATAAGTGAACAAATAAAAAAAGAACTTACAGTAAAGTGTTGTTTCTCGTTCACTGCTCGTACAGCGACGCTCTCTTCGGTTGTCAAATACGTGAACGACCAAACACCGAAGTGAGAGCTGCTTTTATGTGACACGGAGCGTGACGTCACCGCTGAACTTGATTGTGACGTCATTCAATAAACCGCAGTCAGTGCCTGATTGGATCAATTTAAAGCTCTAACTCTCATTTATAAAGTTTAGTTTTTACTAAACTAAAAGCACCAAATACAATGTGAGATTTTAAACAAGACGTGTTTATTATAAAGTCTATTCCTCCCACAGGAGTGTAAAGAACTCCAGAGAAAGAAACATTAAAACGTGTTTTAATTCAATATTCATTCAGTATCATGAATGTGTGTTACTGTAATTAACCTAATAAACAGCACAGAAATCGACGGAAATGTTCTGCTGTTGATTAAAGTTCATTGAAACACCTTGTAGCTCTGCAGAAATCTGTGAATTTGTGTGTCAGTGATGAGATTTCTCTTGAAATTATTTTAAACTTTGGGCTCACACACTCTCACTGTAGGCTTCAAACAGCATCATTTCTTTATTGAAGACTGATTTGATGTGTTTCTTCATAATAATGCAGTGTTTTCTCTTGTTAAAAACATCATTGTGGTTGTATTTTGATAGACGCTGCTGAGCAGAATCAACTGTGTTTATCATTCTGATCCACCAGGTGGCGCCAAAGCGTTAAAACCGAACCCTCACTGATCCTCTCACCGTCTACGTTACCTACCCTGTGCTGTTCAAATGAATGATTACATGAACATCTAATGTCACATCAGTTTCATTTCTGCATGGATTAATTGTCCAAATCAGTCAAATACTATATGAATAAAAACTAAACCTAAAGCTGCACTCAGGAATTAATGCAACATGTAGGCCAGATTTAGTTTTGCAGCAACAAAGCCTTTTTAAATAACAATCATAAGAAATATAATATATTTAATAATAATAATCATCAGATAATTCGTTGGTTTCTAATGACTGGAACTGAAAATGGGCTACAAAATTCAAAACATGGAGCTGATTCCAGTCACAGTCCCACCTCCCTCTTAGTGTAACTGCCTCATCTTGTAGTCTAATCTGATTTACTCTGATCTGATCCTTTTAATTTAACTAAACATTAAATTAAAAGGATCAAAATGTGCATTAAAGTAGAAAAGTGTAATAAGAGTACATGTTTGTACTACTCTACATCAGACAATCAGAAACAGTCTGTGGAGTGAAAGAGAATAGAAAAGTTATATATGAAGAGTTTGAAAAACGCTGTATATGTGTTTGTAAAAACTTGGAATATAGCAAGTTTTTTAAACACTAACAGCTAATATTAATGGAAAGCACATTTTTATTTATCTAATAAATAATATTAAATTTAAAAAAATGTAAATAAATATTAAATAAATTAATTAATTTCAATATAGTCTTGATATTTCTTATATGTACGAAGCTCACTCCCAAAAACTCTTTTTACAACAAAACCCTTCACTGATAACAGAAATACAGGTTTAAAATTCTGATTTATACACAAATATATAAAAGCTTGTATGTAACAAGGAAATTTAACAAACTGACAATTTTCTGGTGGTTTTCTGGCAACAAAAGAAGAAATATTTCTATAACACATTCACAACATGAAGCAAAATGCATTTAAGAAAAGAGTTTCATTTTGACAATTTTGTACAATTAAAATTCAGCTCAGTTCCTCTTCACTCAAACATCATATCAAGCTCTTTTAAGCATTAACATTATCATACAGCAGTAAAGAATTATAGCCCAGCCGCCCCAGAGAGTCTGAACTGAAACGCATCTGTAGTCTCCCTCATCTTCTTCTCTCAGGTCAGATATGAGCAGAGAGAGACTGGCAGGAGATCCTTACTAAACTGCTGACGTCTGTCTCTGTACTGATCAGCACTGAACACTTCAGTAAAATCTTCTCTCTTGCCAATCACCCAGGTGACTGTCTGAGGTTTGGTCAGCAGGTCAGCGCAGGAGCTGGACAGCAGTACTGAGCTGCTGGTGCGTCCTCTGACAAACATATAAAGAACACCTCACATCTTATTATGAATTAGAAAAAACATCCAGAACTCTGAATGAAGGTGTGAAATAACTGCTCTCACCTGCAGTGAAGTGAAACACAACAAGCAGAAGATACAAACACTCCATCATCACAACACACACTCTCTCTACCACACTGCCTGTGTGTCTCTCTCTCATATTCTCTTTGCTTCTCAGGAAACCTCAACAATCACTACGTCATTTGTCCTCTTTCACAACCTCTCAGTGCCTCTGTTGATCACTAACATGTTTCACACAAGTTTTGCTTATGTGCACTTTGTCTGCTGTATGTGATCAATAAACACATTTAATCACAGATGAGCAGAATAAAAGAGGAGTAGAATGATTACTAATGTGCAATGAAATAAATAACTAATATCTCATTACTATAACTGTTCAGAATGACTTTGATAAAAGACTAAAATCAGATGAAGGGAACCTGTTGGGAGGATCAACTCTAAATGTAGTAAACCTGCAGTAATATAACCAGAGATTAGCTAATTTTACTTTTGAAGGTGTCACTTCCTTTCAGAACACAGAGGTTTGTCTAATCTGCACTTTTGGAACAGCTTGTTCAGTTCAGTGATTTACTCAAGAACACTGTGGCACTAAGCATCATGCTATTATCTAGGAATCAAACCAGGTTTTAACTTCACAGCCCAGTTTTCTGAGTGCTGCATGTTTTTAACCACATTATGTATTGAAAATGTTTTCTGATCAAGGACATAATGTTACAGCTACATCTGAGAACAGAGAGTACACATGAACACTTAGAGTGAGCAGTTCTACACAATCCTGTTAGTTTTATGTGCAGATTTCTCTCTTAGTTTGAGCTCATGTGTTGAAATAAGGGCTGATGAAGTAACTCAGTCACTGAAGATGGTGATTGATGGTCAGACAGAGAGATGGAACAGGAGGGTTTGTGTGTTTAATCAGGACTCAGACCAGAATGAACAAGTGGTCAACAACTTTTAGAAATTGTTAGAATTCTGCAAATGCTGCTGGCACAAAAAGAAAAACAAAAGAAGGCTCTACATTTCTGGAAATAAGCTTCTAACGTGTGTCATATGTTTCACTGTAGGTTCACTAGAAACTACGACACTGTAAGAGACTCCTGACTGATGCAGAGAAAAACATACAGCAGATGCAGCTAAAAAAAACTCAGTGACACCTTTATCCCATTCCATATCACTTTCATGTTGTACATAAACATAATTAAAAATTAAAAATATATCATTCACTCCACATATACAAACAAATATCTCAAACTGTCCTGTTTTTTGGGGGTTTGGTGGGTGGAATGTAGAATGCATATATGTGGGGATGTATGTATGTATGCAGATGTAGGATATGAGCCCTTTAAATTAAGTCATCATACATACATAGAAGATAAGAGACTAATTCTGTAAGTCTGAATCCAAATTCTGCCCTCTAACAACCACAGAATGGTGAGCAGTCATGCTGAATCAGATTCCTTCACAATTACTCCTCAGATTTCCTCTCACTGTTTTACTCTCTTAAACACATCAGATTCAGTACTGACTTCATCTCTCAAATCACAAAGAAAGATCACAAAATGAAAATCTTACACTGATGTATTTATTATGTCGTACTGTCTGTACAGAGAGAAGATTAAAATGGTGTAAAAGGCTCTAAGCTCTGTCTCTAATATAAAAATGTGAAGTTGTGGTTAGAGAGTGATGAAAATGCAGAAGTATTAAGGTTAAATCAGTGTTAAAGATGAACATCAGAATGAGTTCAATCTCAGTGGTGTGATTAAAGGAAGAGGAGAAAGGAGACAGAAGATTTCCTTTCAGTCTCTGACATCAAGATCTGAATCTTATTTAGGTACAGATATGGCAGTATTTCCATAAAGCAGTAAAAAGTTCAGTGGAAACCCAGCAGAGAGATCAGTGTGGAGCGTGGATTCATTCTTTCTTCAGAATCAGCAAGTGTGTGTAGCTTTATCAGTTTTAGTGAAGATTAACGCGCAACACACATCCTGTAGAGAGAGAACACACACACACACACACACACACACACACACACACACACACACACACAACAACAACAACAACAACAACAACACAACAACAGTAGATCAGTGTATAAAACAGAGTCTGAATTCAACACAGAACTGTAGTCAATATTAATGATTGTGTATGTGATGTATTTTAAAACGAATCATAAAGAGCTTCTTCAGCTCCAGTGCAGAACTTTGAGTAAAGGTCTTCAGGTTGATGGAGTGTTTAGTGGGTTTTAAATGCTTTAGTAAATCTGACTCAGTGAGGCTGTTGGGACTCACATGATTCTCTCACTTTCAGTGGTTTCTGTAGTTGGAGGATCTTCTGATGGAGTTGTTGTTGGGTCTGTTGTCCATAAGTGTGTTGGAGTTTCTCTCACTGCAGAGATAAATAACAACCAAACACATAAACACAAACACAATAAATCACTTCCTGATTATTCACTTCACTCTGTTACCATCACTGTGCATTTTGACAATAACAGTAATTATTAATAAATGTTAATATACATGATCACAGTCATTACAGAGAACTGGAGGAATAGTTTACCTTTAACATGAAGTCTGATATATTTACGATCTCTCTGAACTGAACAACTGTAGTCTCCCTGATCCTCTTCAGTCAGGTCTGATATGAGTAGAGAGAGGTTTCCTGAGTTCTTATTGGTCAGTCTGAATCTGTCTCTGTGCTGTCCAGTCTGTGCAGAATAGATTTCTACATAAGGAGAAGTTTCAGATTTATCTGAACTAAACTCCCATTTAACAGTGTTTGGTTTTGTCTGTAGGTCAGTGCAGGAGCAGAGCAGGACTACAGACTCTCCTGAGAACCTTGTCACTTCCTCTATCTCTTCACTATTCGCCAGATCACATCCTGAAAAAAATGAAACATTTAAGAGTGATCAGCACCGCATTTATTATTTACTTTTCTTGATTTTTTAAAATCTGAGTGTGGAGGAGGGGGTGTGGCCAAGCATCACGTGCAGGACGGAGAACTAGTCATGTCGAACCAGCAGGCTAAGTAGCTGATAATGTTCACCCCTGCCTTGTTTCTGCCAGCCCACTTATAGCCATCTCTTTTCTCAGTAGGTGACAGAGCCATCGGCAAAAGGACTCCAGTGGATGACCCTGAGGCAATTGTGGAGCTCTTTGTGAGAGAGCAGCGGAAGACTGGGGGTGGCCAAAGAAGAACTGGGTAGTCCGCCTGCTTCCCCTGCTTACAGGGGAAACCCAACTGACTGCCCAATAGCCCCCCGTGCAGACACAGCTGGAGTATGACGAGCTAAAAAAAGCCAGCCTTCAGAGGGTTGGTCAGACTCCTGAGTAACATCATCAGCAGTTTTGCTCGCTGACGCTACTGGAGTTTCACCGGCCCTTCATGTTGGCCCAACAGCTCCACAATTCTTGCAGGAGGTGGCAATTGTCTGAAGAACGCGTTTCTGAGAAAGTACTTAATCTGGTGGTGCTGGAGCAGTTCATCGCATGCCTACCTGACGAGACAGCAGCGTGGGTCCAGTGCCACCAACTGGAATCGCTGGTCCACCAAGCTGGCAGAGACACACATGGCAGGGTACTCGGGAGCAGGACCCTCCACACAGCAAACCTTTCTCTCTCCATCTTTCTCTCTCCCTACTCCTGCTCCCAGAAAAAAGGGAGCTCTAGCCTCTAAACCTTTGCCCTGCACTCACCCTCCCCGCAACACCCCCCGTCGGCCAACCGCAGCCCCCTCCCGGCAGCTACTCATGGCCTCCATTCTCTCTCCGCACAGGTGGGGACAGCTGAGCCCACAAAAGCTGTGGCGAAACCTAGGCAGGTGTGTTGGTGAACACACCAAGGTGAAGGTGCAGTGTGCCCATGGGGATGTGCCCTGTAGCAGGGCATCTGGGACAGAAAAAAACACTTAATCATCTTCTACTGGCTGGGCATTCACGCAGATGTACGCAGGTGGTGTGCATCATGCCATGAATGTCAACTCGTTAACTCCCCTCTCGAGTTGGGATCCTGAAAGATATCTTGACTGATCAGGGCACTATGTTTATGTCACACACTTTATGCAAACTATACAAATACAAACTATCCAAACGGATGGACTGGTTGAATGTTTTAATTAAAATAGGATTCGGAAGTTTGTTCATGACGATGCTACAAAATGGGATAAGTGGCTAGAATCCCTGTTGTTTGCAGTGAGAGAGGTCCCACAAGCCTCCTCAGGGTTTTCTCCTTTTGAGTTATTGTATGGGAGGAGACGCAGGGGTGTCCTAGATGTCATTAAAGAATATTTGGAGGAGGAAGATTCTAAAAATAGAATCCAGTATGTTCTTGACCCTAGGGCAAAACTCCAAGCATTGGGGCACTTAACGCAGGGGAATTTGCTCCAGGCTCAAGAACGTGAGGCATTTGTGAGGTCAGACACTGATTTTGGACAAGAAGGCCTGGCTCACAGTCTCCGCTCTAATTCATCCCAAAGGTGTTCTATCGGGTTGAGGTCAGGACTCTGTGCAGGCCAGTCAAGTTCCTCCACACTCTCTCATCCATGTCTTTATGGACCTTGCTTTGTGCACTGGTGCGCAGTCATGTTGGAACAGGAAGGGGCCATCCCCAAACTGTTCCCACAAAGTTGGAAGCATGAAATTGTCCAAAATCTCTTGGTCTGCTGAAGCATTAAAAGTTCCTTTCACTGGAACTAAGGGGCCGAGCCCAACTCCCGAAAAATAACCCCACACCATAATCCCCCCTCCACCAAACTTTACACTTGGCACAATGCAGCCAGACAAGTACCGTTCTCCTGGCAACCGCCAAACCCAGACTCGTCCATTGGATTGCCAGACGGAGAAGCGTGATTCGTCACTCCAGAGAACACCACTCCACTGCTCTAGAGTCCAGTGGCGGCGCTTTACACCAGTGCATTCGATGCTTTGCATTGCGCTTGGTGATGTAAGGCTTGGATGCAGCTGCTCAGCCATTGAAACCCATTCCATGAAGCTCTCTATGCTGTTCTTGAGCTAATCTGAAGGCCACATGAAGTTTGGAGGTCTGTAGCGATTGACTCTGCAGAAAGTTGGTGACCTCTGTGCACTATGCGCCTCAGCATCCTCTGACCCCACTCTGTCCTGGCCTACCACTTCGTGGCTGAGTTGCTGCCGTTCCCTATCACTTCCACTTTGTCATAATACCACTGACAGTTGACTGTGGAATATTTAGTCGTGAGGAAATTTCACTACTGGACTTGCTGCACAGGTGGCATCCTATCACGGCACCACACTGGAATTCACTGAGCTCCTGAGAGCGACCCATTCTTTCACAAATGTTTGTAGAAGCAGTCTGCATGCCTAGGTGCTTGGTTTTATACACCTGTAGCCATGGGAGTGATTGGAATTCAATGATTTGCAAGGGTGAGTGAATACTTTTGCCAATATAGTGTATTTCTGAGCAGCTACGGCTACATCACTGGAAATAATCTGCACAGAAAAACACTAAAACAAAAGTTCTGAGAGCTGAGACTGATCACAGTTCACTCTGCTAGTGCACATTTACACACCTTTCTGTGAGCTGTGTAAGGAAGAAGGTTTACATTAAACTGCATGCATTTCATGGTTAGATGATTATATAAGATGTCCTAGTTTATCTGTTTCCAGTAAAGTATTTCAGAATCCCTGAAAGACTGCAGAGGTTTTTACAGTTCATTTAAGAAAAAAAAAAGTCAAAATGATCAAATTATTAAAATTATTATAAGTCGCTTAATTAATAATGTAATTTTAGTGAGTGTCCTGCTGCCCATCAGCTCCCTGGACTCTAGCGTATGTTAATAGATGTGAACCTCTACAGACAGTAAACACCTTCACAGCATTCAAACTGTGTATTTTCACTGATATCAGTTCAGAACATTTCTACCGTTAAAATCAGCAGCAACATCAGCAATTTATCCAGCTTTGATTTTACTGTAATATATTTCACTAGAAATCATGCTGATCACTTCATACAGAATCAGACATTATTACTGCATTTACTGCAGTTAAACAGCTACACAGCCTCTCACAGGTAAAGACAAACACCAAGGCAGAGAGAGAGAGAGAATTAGGACAATATCCACTCCTATTAAATATTCAAAAATATAAGCAGGGGAAGCAGGCGGACTACTCAGTTCTTCTACCCAGTTCTTCTTTGGCCACCCCCAGTCTTCCGCTGCTCTCTCTCAAAGAGCTCCACAATTGCCTCAGGGTCATCCACTGGAGTCCTTTTGCCGATGGCTCTGTCACCTACTGAGAAAAGAGCTCTAAATTTCTGGAAACACATAAAATCCAGTGACCCCCAGTGACTCCACTATAAAGCACTGGCCAGTTAGGAGCTGAACATCGACAGGAGTCCCCTGAGCCAGCTGGTCCTGAGTCTCAGTGACCTAAAACCCAACAACATCACAGACACCAATCAGCCTGACCACATGCTCTACCAGAAAATCAGACCCAACCAAATTATCACCAAACAAAAAAAAATACACCCACCGGACAGAGACCACACATCAACAACACAAACTTCAGTGCTATTCGGCCCTAAATCGAGATTATACATTAGCACCATACCTCACAACAATTAAAGAGAGAAAACTGAGGAAAGTGTTGACGATGTACGGACTCAGAGAGCACAGTCTGGCCATTGAAACTGGCCGGGGCAGACAGACCTGGTTACCCAGAGAGGCCAGACTGTGCTCACACTGTGAGCTCTCAGTGGTGGAGACGGAGCTGCACTTCCTCACAGAGTGCCCGAGATACGTCTCCATTAGAAAGGAGTTCTATAAGAAAGTGAGCAGCGTCTGTCCTGAGTTTGAGCTCTGCAGTGACTCTGAGAAACTGGCGCACGTGTTAGGAGGGAAGAGCGAGCTGATCACACACGCAGCGAGATACGTGACAGCCTGTCACAACCTGAGGGACGACCAGTGAGGATAACCAAATAACTGTTATTGATTATTATTGATTATTATATATCCTGAAATTTGCCTTGACTCTTTTATTTTCCTTTTCTTTTTCTTTGATTACAAATAACCATGTAAATAACATAATTTCTAGCGTTCTGTTATAATCTATAATATTATTTTTTTCGTATTTATGTTTATGTGTTTCTTAATAACTTTATCTCCAAAACACTAGAGCAGCTAAACTAGGCTGTATAAACGGGTAAACTGCAGACTGTGGGCGACACCTGTTAACTAAAGTAGCTGACAGACACTTTTCCAGATTTTCAGTTTAATAAACAGAATCATTATAAAAGACAGAAGAAAACCGTAAACAAGGTACCTGTTTAGCTCAGATCAGCTAGCTCGGCTAACGCTGCCTCAGGCTGGAGTCGAGCTGTGAGAGCGGATCTCAGCAGGTTTCGCGTTTGGCCGCTGATTATAACGCCGTTTTCTTTAGTTCATGTTAAATGAATACTGATGACTGTTTGGACGCGGTCTGTTCCTCGTGTGCTACAGTCCATATATACAAAACAAAACTTAAAATCATCCTGTTTTTTTATCAATTGTTTGTGTGATGCCACAAAAACCACCCAATTTACATGCATCCACCTATTCAGCCTATAACCACCACAAAGCATGAATAAAGGCTAAATTGTTTAAAACTGAATCCTGTATTTTGTGGGTTTTTATGGTTGTTGTTTGATCGTTGATTGATTTAAGGAAATTGCTCTCCTGATTGTAAGTTGTATTGTTTGTAGAGAGTTTAGCTCCGCCCATTCAAGTTTAACTGACGAGTGTTTCTCGGAACACGTTTGGACTGTTTTTGAATGAGGTGCAGAATTCAGCTGCCAATCAGAACAGAGGTCATTTACATAGATCAGTCTTAAAGGTACAGTAACTAAATCAGACATAGATTGGATAATAGTCATGTAAAAATAAATAAAGATGTATTATCTTTGATACTAAAATACTGTGTGCTTGGAGGAATGTAGGATGTGTTTATGTGGATAAATGGATTGATAAGGATGTAGGATATGAGCCTTTTAATTAAGTCATCAAACATAGAAGAGACTAATTCTGTATATCTGAATTTACAGCACTGAATGCTGAATGAGATTCTTATACATTTGCTCCTCAGATTTCCTCTCACTATTTTACTCTCTTGAACACATCAGATTCAGTATCGACTTCTTCAGGAAGAAGCAGCAAAATGAGAATTCTTATACTAAATTTATTGTTTCACAGTGTCTACAATGCAAATATGTTGAACTAGATAATGTCATTTTTCTACTCATAGTTTTTTTTTCTACTAATACTCTTGTACTGAACAATTTAGAAAAGTGCTAAATCCAAAAAAATATGTTTTCTTTGGGCACAATGCTGCCTCACATACGCACACCCTGCATGTACCTCTCTGACATTAACAGCTTTTAAAAAATGAGTTTTAGAACAAAACCTTCTTAAAACTGTCGTGAAACAAAGTCAGGCAGCGAATTCATAACATTTCCTGTAAAAACCTTCTCTGAGGGAGCTTTTAGAGATGACAGTGAAAAATTCCTGAAAGACTTTGTTTTACATCTTAATAATTTAATCTTTTTAAAGCATTACAGTTTAAAAGAGAATATAAATGAAATTAAAAACACAGTAGCACTAGCATCATGCTATCAGCCAAGATCAAACTTATTTTTAGCTTATAGTTTTCTGAGTCCTGTGTTTCACCACATCACGTATTTTCCTCCTAGAGATCATTTAGAAGCTCCTGTGGTTGGACAGACGTTTAATGAACAAGAACAAATTGTTACAGATACATCGGAGAACAAAGATCCTTTGGAGTGAGCTGTTCTACACAATCTGTTAGTTTTATATGAAGATTTCTCTCACTTTGAGCTCATGTGATGAAATATGTCACAAATGAGGTGCAAACCACAGCAGCCAATCAGAAAAGAGGTCATTTACTTATAGCATGATTAGCAGTACAGTAATTATTCACATTCACTGCTTTTTAATCACAGTTGTTTGAGGTAATATTTGTCTGCTAAAAAAACAAAATGGCATCCAAACATAACTACATTTTAAAACATTACAGCTGCTAATTTAATGCCTCCTTTATTTGATTACATATGATTTCACTGAGTATTTAAACTGTTTACCTTTTACATACAGCCAGAAGTCTCTGCTTTCCTTCTCAGTCTCACACCTGTAGTCTCCATCATCTTCTTCTCTCAGGTCAGATATGAGCAGAGAGAGATTAGCAGGAGAGTCTTCATTAAACTGATGAAGTCTGTCTCTGTACTGATCAGCACTGAACACTTCAGTCCACTCTCTTTCACCTCTGTTAATCTTCCAGGTGACTCTCTGAGGTTTGGTCTGCAGGTCAGTGCAGGAGCAGGGCAGCAGTACTGAGCTGCCGGTGTGTCCTGTGACCAGTTTTAACGTTTGTTCTCCTGAGAGAGAGCAGCCTGAACACACACACAAAGAACACCTCACATCTTATTATGAATTAGAAAAAACATCCTGAACTCTGAATGAAGGTGTGAAATAACTGCTCTCACCTGCAGTGAAGTGAAACACAACAAGCAGAAGATACAAACACTCCATCATCACTGATTCTTCTACACACACTAATGTCCCTCAAAGAGAAACACACACTCTCTCTACCACACTGCCTGTGTGTCTCTCTCTCATATTCTCTTTGCTTCTCAGGAAACATCAACAATCACTACGTCATTTCTCCTTTTTCCACAACCTCTCAGTGCCTCTGTTGATCACTAACAAGTTTCACTCTGCTTAGGTGCACTTTGTCTACTGCATGTGATCAGTAAACACATTTAAATAAAAATGAGTAAAGTAAAAGAGGAGTAGAATATTTACTAATGAGCAACGAAATAAATGTCTGATATCTCGTTACTATAACTGTAGAGAATGACTGATAAAAGGCTAAAATCAGATGAAGGGAAACTGTTGGGAGGATCAGCTCTAAATGTAGTAGACCTGCAGCAATAAAACCACCAGAGATCAACTAGTTTACTTTTGAAGGAGTCACTTTCTTTTGGAAAACAAACAAAAAGTTTGGCTATTCTGCAGCACTCTTGGAAAAACGTCTTTAAATGAGTTCATGTATTTTCCTTCTAGAAATTGTAAAAAAGCTTCTGTGGTTGTACAGACATTTAATGAACAAGCACACATGAACACTTAGAGTGAGCTGTTCTCCACAGTCCTGTTAGTTTCTGTGCAGATTTCTCTCTTAGTTTGAGCCCATGTACTAACACAAGGCCTGATAAATTCAGTCCTTCACTGAAGATGGTGGTTGATAACCAAAGAGTGAGATGGAGGGGGGTTTGTGTGTTTACTCAGAACTCAGGCCAGAAAGAGGAAGTGGTCAAGAACCTTTAAAAATAATTAGAATGGTGTGCTGCAAAATAAAGGTGCTAAATTTGAAATTCCTGGAAATAAGTTTCCAATATGTGTTATATGATTCATAATAGGTCCCAGGGCTGCCATAACCATGAAGGCAAGCAGGCATTTGACTCATCACATTTCAAAGTAGACCCACCACTTTCTGACAGAATGCAGGATGCAGGGCCTTTCAATTGATAGACTCTGTGCAACAAATATTTTTTTTATTTTATTTTACACCTACATGTCTGTCTTACCCTCAACACTGGCGAGTTGTTTAAAAATACCTCTGTTAAAAAAAAGAAGGCTAGGCTTCTAGAGTTACTGGTCAGACTCAGGTGGGTGGGACAGATTTGCATATCTCCTATTTTAAGTATATATATAATTATCCAGTTTGTGTCTAATCCTACAATTTCTCTATATTATGAGACTTGGTTATTAGCTGCCATTAGGTTGTCCACTATTAAAGAACACCCTACTTGGTCCAAATCTCCCACAGACTGTGGATTACTAAAGGTTGAAGCTGTCAAACTGACTGGTATTCCTCCCCCAAATACCAAGCAGTATCTAATTAATATTACAGCATTTTCAGGTATTCAACACATTGTGGAGGATTTGGTTGGACAGGGTGTGTTGGATCTGATGCAAAGTCCCAGTCACTATTAAAATACAGGCCCATTCCTCTTCTGTTTCTTTTGAATACCATAGGAACTACTTAGCTGAAGCTATAATGGCTTGTCTCCTGCCTACTGAATATGTCCTGTCACCCAGTGAACAATCTGTTGTTATCAATTTGGATGACCTGCTTGCTTTAAACCAAGAGGCCTCAGGCTTGGAAGGTTGGACTTTGGATGAGCATGGTGTGACTCTTTGAGATGTACTCTGGGTTAAGGGGCATAAATATGTGGCTCCTGACACATTCCTTCCCTATTTTTTGACTACTAAACATAGCCTAGGCCACCCCAGAGTAATCCAGATAGTTCATCGCTTCAACCAAGTGTGGTGGAATCCTAATTTCCACAAATATGGAGAGGGCCATTGTTTTGCTTGTTCCACCGGCTTTAAGGGTATTTCTGGCCCTGCAGTGTCACTTCCCTACCAGACTATGGAACCACTAAGTGGGCCTTTCCAGGAATTTCAGGTAGATTACATCACTTTGCCAAGATGTCAAGGAAAGTAGACTTGTTTAGTAATAGTTTGAACATTTTCAAGAGGCATATCCCACTACCAAAGGTACTGCACTGCACACTGCCAAATGTTTGGTGAAGGATGTTATTCCACGGTGGGGTCTTCCAAAGGTTATTGAGAATGATCATGGGGCTCACTTTACTGGGAAAGTTTGTCAAGAAAGTGGCATCTCCACTGTCCCTATCAACCTCACTCTTCAGGTCAGGTTGAAAGAACAAATAGAACTTTAAGGTCCAGACTGACCAATCTACACTATGAAGGGGTCCCATAGATGGATGCCTTACCCGCTGTGCTTTGTAGCATCAGAGCATCAACAAATAATAATACCCATCTGTCACCATATGAAACTATTACAGGTCATCCCATGTCACTCCCTGGGCCTGTTGATTTGAGAGTGACGTTGACAGACAATTTAACAGACTTTTCTGAAGCCGTTGCTGCTCAGAAAAGAAGACAGTGGGTGAAGTGCACAACACCCAGTCATATCAGGTCCTCCTTACCACACCCTCTGCTGTAAAATGTCAGGGAAAACTAATATGGATATATGTGAGCCATACCAAAGTGGTGTCGCCACCTGACGGTGATGGCAAGCGCAGAGATAAAATGGGTGAGTCTGGTTGGGCAATGCTCTGAGGAGAATCCTCACGGTTAACGGTTATCCAGATATATGTATATATATATATATATATATATATATAAAATAAAGGCAGTGAACATAATGCAGAAAGAACCTGAAGAGTCAGCTGGTCAGAGCGCCCCTGTAGAGCCACTGGTCCCTGGTCCCCAAACATCAGTCTCCAAACTGAATGCAAAGCTTCCTTCATTACTGGCTGAATACACATTGGATCATTGTTCATGTAGCACATTTTGCTCATAAAAAGTATAGCTGTGCTGTCATTTATAATTTTTTTCTTAAAGCAGGTGTGTATCTGGGCCATCTAGTGTAGCACGGCATTCATCTGTGAATAAAACTGTTTGAAAAATAGTCTTCATGTATTTCTGAGCCCACTGCAAACTTTTCTTTTTGCTTAGGAGTGGCTGAAATACAGCTGTATGCACAGCTGCCAGCCTGTGGAAGATCCTGCATCAAGAAGCTCTCCTGAGACACCAGCAGCTTCAAACACCTGTTTGCTGCTCAACTGTGGTGCTATTATGGCGGCCCTCTCTGATCTCTCTTCAGTTTTCATGAAATATTAATTGTTTTCATGCATTTTGCAAGACATTGCACTATTTCATGCTTTTCGTCTTCAGAAAGATCTTTTTTCCTCCCCATACTGCACGAGAACTGTGACTTGCTTAATAATGTGGAAGAATCTCTTTAAGTTTCCCTTTAATCAAGATCACCTGGAAATAAAACAGACAAACACTTTATTTGAAAAACTGAAAGCTAAATGTTCATTATACTGAAATCCTACTGATATATCACATGCATTATAATTTGGAACACAGTGTATATCCACCACGAGCCTGTGTTCTCTCCATTAGATAGATAGACGAGGGTTTTTTCTAACATATGCAAAAGTGCAATTGTGAAAGAAAAACCTAGAAGCAACTATATTCAGTAATTACAGACTAATTTTAAATCTATTTTTCATTGGAAAATCATTGAGAAAGTAGTCTTCAAGCAACTTACTGGCTATCTGTCCCTAAATAGCTGTCTAGACAAATTTCAGTCAGGATTTTGAACTAATCATAGTACCAAGTGTGATAGCCCGCCAGCATGTTACTGTGATAAGGAGGGGCCGCTTCTCCCCAGTAGCGTGGGATGTATAGTGCGAGTGGTTAAGGGAAGGTGCCAAGGTAGCCATTCTTCTGAGAGAACTCAGCAAACCAGTTAACACAACATAAGATTAAACGAGAAGAAAAAGAGATATACAAACACACACAACACTAAGAAACAGAAAATAATTGTGGCGTATTGCCAGCCTTTAACTAACTGACTTTTACATTAACTAGTCCAAACAAACAAAAGGGTATAAGGGCTAATCCCTTGCTAAAGAACCTCCTTACTAGGAAAACGCAGCCCCTATTAAGCTCACAGTTCCCACCAAACATAAATGCAGTACACTATAACAACGTTGTGGTAATTCCCCTACCGCATACACTCTTTACACAATCAGTAACATGCTGAACACTCAACTGTGTTTGACTACATTAAACATTTGTCCATACTGTGTCTTAATCACCTCTCTCTTTCATTCTCTTTACAGGTGGTCCCAGAGCAGATGGAAGAACGACCTCCAGCCTTCGAAGAATACTATGGGATATCTTACCACAGCTATGCAGATGATACTCAGATCTACTTGGCCCTCTCCCCGAACAGCTATGGTCCCCTTGAATCTGTTTGAAAGTGCTTCAGTTGTGTACAACATGAACTGGATGGGACATAACTTTCTGCAACAGAATAGAGATAAAACAGAGGTTATTTTATTTGGGAACAGCAATTTGAGACACAGACTAGCTGCCTATCTAAATCTGAAGAACTAGCATGCAACCTTGGTGTACTAATGGACTCGGATATCAGTTTTATCAGTCGCGTCAAAGCAGCCACTAAATCAGCATTTTATCACCTCAAGAACATCAACAAGATCAGAGATTTTCTAACTAAACCAGACTTCAAAAAACTCATCCACACCTTTATTTCTAGCAGGATTGATTACTGGTCTCCTAACTGGACTCCCAAAAAAGATAATCAAACAGCTACAGCTCATTCAAAATGCAGCTGCCCGAGTTCTGACTAGGAGTAAAAAAGGAATAAATCACCCCATTTTTAAATCCTTACACTGGCTACCAGAATAGACTTTAAGATACTATTACTGCTACATAAATCACTCAATGGTGCAGGACCAGCATATTTATTTCATATGTTGCAGCGATTTGAGGAGAACAGAACTCTCAGATCATTAGGAACTAGTCAGTTAGTCCTGCCGAAGGTGAAGACCAAACATGGAGAAGCAGCGTTTAGCTACTATGTTGCTCTTAAATGGAACCATTTGATAGAGAACATTAGATGAGCTCCGACACTGGACACTTTTAAATCCAGGCTTAAAATGTTCCTGTTTGAGCAGCTTTAATTCCTATTCTATTCA